GTGTAAGGTAGGTAACTCGGAAATACGTACTGAAGCAGGCGCAATCTGCATTACACACCAATAAGGTAGTGATGCTGGTTCATAAACATGCAGCAACGTTGTCATGCGATCAGCTTGCAGGGCGTTCACGCAGGGGACAGCCGGTTCAGAGAGTAGTCCGCCGGCGGTGGATGGGAGCAGGGTTCAGACAAGACACGTCCGAAAGAAGGGGCATTCGTTTTAAGACTCGGTTTTGTAGGAGAAATTCCGGTTTCTCGTTTTTGTCATATTTTGGAAGTTAGCGTGTGAAGTTTTTTAATTCGCTGCTGTCTAAAATGCGGCAACGAAAACCTACATCTCGCAAATCAGTTTCCGACATCTAGGCAAATGAAAACTTTTGGACGCCAACGTGACCCATAGACTCAAATTCGGAAGTCTGGCTGGCTGTGCCCGGGCCGTATTTTGCCATGTAAACGCTGGAGGTAGAAAGCCCCACCAATGACCAAGAATGCCAACCCGCTCGTGGAATTTTGCCTTCTCAAGGAAACAATGTTGATACGGACGAGTAATTTTCAGTAGTTGGGTCCCCTTGTTTTCCGAATGGTATATAAATAAATCCCAGTGGGTAAGATTGTGCACCAGCAGAAAAACAGTTGGTAGGTGTATGTGTAGCATAGCAACCAGAACATTAAACTCATCTCCCACATGTCTTACGTGAGATAAGGGGGCACACAGTCCTCCCTGTCCTATCCCCCCCCCCCCCCTAGCCCGCGATTGACGGGTTTGTCTCGCTGATAAACTACCGAGTTGGTCCCCCCACACAATTTTTGAAACTTGTCTTCGCCTACCAGTGCGTCTTAAGACGACTTTTCTTTTGCAAAACTTTTTTTTCTCGACAAATGACCTGGTAACATAGGCGTCCAGTACCCTAGACCGATACTCTTTCATCCCATTTTCACTTTTTGCTCGGGGCAGTAAAAAAATCATCTACATGAAAGGAGGATTTTAACGCTATGCAACGCATTTGTACATAAATGTTGGAAAGGGAAGTCAAACATATCCGATTGTAGATCTCCAGAGCCGTGGCAATGTCGAATTCAAGGCGGTTTAGACACTGCTTGTGCCGGGCGGTGGTGGCGGGCAGTTACCTCGAAGCGGCAAGTGCCTTGGTGTGCCGGTAGGTTGGCAACGACCGGAGTCGTGCAAGCGCGCCGTTTCTGCCACTTCGTGGCATCGAAGCAGTCTGGTGCCGGTGGGTCAATCCTATAGAACCTGACGGCCAGTGCGATGTTGGTCCATTCCACGAATACGTGGCAGCGTGCGCTGCAAATGGAGTGAACCTGCCTGACCACAAGTGTGAGCAGCACAAGTGTCAGCACGTGACAGTCGAAGAGTGCTGGTGGGCGAATTAGCCAGAGTCTATCCGTGCGAGGCAGACATCTTAGACACCGTTGAGCAGCTCACCATGACCACCGCCAACGAACTCAACACGGCCGCGGTCTTTTTGGCGTGCCTATTCGTTGCGTTGTGGATTTGGTTATATGCCTGGCAGTGTGCTAAACGCGAATCGGTAGCGCTTGGATCGCGGCCTGTGCCGCCGGCGTCGTCTCCAGCATTCCACGAATGGTCATATCACCCGCACAGGGGACAACTGGCTCCGGCTAGCATTGTGTGAGAGCACCCTGCGCAGAGGCCACGACAAGAGCGGACGCCGCCCCTCGCAGCGGGGTCGCTGGCACCAGGATCGGGAGACGACCTTCCGCCCACTTACGTGGCGGCCGCCAGCCAACATCCCAGGCAGCTAGCCGCCGAAGATCAGCAGCCGCCCACCTTCGAGGAGGCTACAAAACGAATGGGGCGCCGTCTAGGTGCAGACCCGGCCCAGACCCAGAGCCGGTCCTCGACTTTTGTTTCACCGGGCCACTGTAGCCGGGACCGACTGCGGCACCACCATCTGTCCGTGGCATTACAAAGGACTGGCGATGATCAGTCTATGGGATTACCAGCAGATTTTTTCTCCAGTCCGTGGGATTACTATGGACTGGTGGTACCACGATCCTGGCTCCGGAGGGAGGCGCCAGCCGTGCCACCGTGTCACACGCCACGGGTCCGGGTCCGCGGGCTCAGCGGCGGACCACCACGAAACACGGCGGCGCACCGAGCCGTGCGGCCGGTCGGCAGCAGCGGTTGCTGTGCGCCAGGCCCTGCGGCAACACCACCGTGTCTGGACATTAGATGTTGCGCAGCAGTGATGGTGGATGCCACAGGGGTGTCACGCGCCTCGATGATGATGATTTGGGCTTTGGGGCGCACCGACTACGTTGGTCATGTGGCGCCCATAACTCACTTTTGATCTAGCAGATGCGTGAACAAAGCGAGGAGATGAGGTTACGTGTGATATATGGCATGGAATTGTATGTCTTCAAGATAACTAAAAATGTGACCGTCATTTCATAAACTAGAGTCGTCTCCCAACATACCATAGAGCGTTTGGCGCACTGACCCTGATCCAAAATGGCGCATGCGTTCCGAGATGAGGTGGAAACAATCTATCAAGACATGTCGTACGGTGTAACGATCCCCGCAGCGAGGGCATCGTGGTTGGTCCTTCCCCACATAACAAGTAATCGCGAGTTGCGTATGTGTGTCTTATTCTCAGGCAGCATAGAGTCACTTCACTTCCCGCCTCACCATACGACAGCTGGACGCCCATGGTCTCAACGGGACTTTAACTCTCTCAGTTTATTGGCAGCTAGTGCATCCCATTCGCTTGCCAGTGCTTCAACATGAATACAGGTAACACTGCATATAGGTCGTTAGCAGGGACTGTCAAAGTAGGGATGCCAAATGCGTGTGACACGGCTTGCCACGTCATCAGCTACTTCATTACCCGATATGCCAACGTGGCTCGGTATCCAGCAGAATACCACCTGCTTCCCGGATCGGGACAGTGTAGTAAGAAGAGTTAAAATGTTCTGAACAATGGGATGTGATGAATCCAAATCCTGCAGTGCCATAAGGCTACTAACAGAGTCCGATAAAACTAATTGTCGAACGTCACTATCAACTTCTATGAAATGAAGTGCTTTACGAATGGCTATTAGGTCGGATGTGAATATCGATGCGTGACCAGGCAAAGCAACAGACCGTGCGACAGGACCCTGCACAAAAGCATATCCAACACCGGCATCCGTTTTCGAACCGTCCGTGTAGGTCTTGTGATTCGGGGTATGACGCGACTAACTCCAACGACCTCAGTCGAAACTCATCCCGGGACACCTGCCTCTTCTAGAAATGAGAAGGCAAGACAACAGCCGCTGGTCGGTAGAGCTTCCAAGGAGGGTCTTAGGAATATCCCAACGAATCACATGCCGTGTGCGAATGGCACATACCTGCAAAAGTATGAACATCCTCACACAGAAAGGTGCGATCTGATGTCCTCTCCCAGGCAGAAACATGCATATTGTTCTGTGCGAAAAGACCTATTTGTATGTTGGGTGATCGGGGGAACTGTGCCAACTTACAGGCGTATCTCATGCCCAGTATTTTTTCTCCCAGTGGACAAAGGGGGCTCGTGGGCCTCAACATGGAGACCACTGACGAGCCTCTCCATCAGCTTCCACAGTGAAGATATAAGAGAGATGGGCATGAAGTGAAGCGGATCTTTGCCGCTCTACCTCGCTTTAAAAGGCCGCCACAGCAGCTTCTCGCCGAAGGTTCGGAAATTCGCTTCATTCTCAAAAACAAATAAAAATGGCCAAAAGACCGTCAAGTACGCAGATGGGTAGATGTCGAATCATGTCGTTATGTATCTCGTCAGGACCCTCTGATACACCTCAAAGACTGCCAACAGCAGCCCTTAGTTCCACCATTGTAAATGGTTCGTTGTAGACAAGCTGCACAGAGGTGGAAACGTCCACTGGACTGGCCTCACAATGCGCCTTTTGACGCGGGAACTGGGGATCAACGTTACCGTCTCCAAAATATTCCGCAAGCGCACGACCGATCTCGTTGGCGACATCACCAGGGTGTAAAATGTCCCGCCCACCAACGTCAAGAGCCGGTAGAGGAGCCGCGGAAAACTGGCCAGAGACACGTTTAATTTGTGACCTTACTAGCGACACAGAAGTGAAACGATTTAGACGCTCCACGTACTCTTGCCAGAAGACGCGCTTCACCTACCGGATGGTGCGCCGGGCCAAAGCTCTCGCCTTCCTAAATGCGACTAAATTATCGGTTGTGGCGTGGCGGTCAAAGACCCGAAAGGCCCGCCTACGTGCCTGGATAACAGCTCGGCACTCGTCGGTCCACCACGCTACCGGGGTGCGACGAGGAGCCCCAGATGTCTTTGGAATGCTTGCGGTTCGCTGCACGTAAAAAAAACGCGGACATGACGTATTCGATCGAGTAGTTTGCACCATCCACGGCCTGTGCACCAAAGACTCAAACTCACTCCAGTCTGCTTTTTTTAAGATTCCACCGTCGTGGTCGAGGGCTGCGGACCGCTCCGTCACAGTACTCCAACGACACTGGGAAGTGGTCGCTTCCCATAGGGTCGTCGGCTATAGTCTAGTATAGGTATATAGTAAAAAGCTGCGCGAGCTGCGGACTCACCAGGCTTAGGTCCAAAACCGACGTCTGACCTGGCGGTAACGTAAAATGCGTCCGAGATCCCGTATTCAAAACACGGAGCGACTCCTCGTGAATAAATTGTTCTACAGTACGTCCCCGCACGCTGCTGTCATTACAACCCCAAACGGTATGGTGTGCGTTAGAATCTCCCAAGAAAACCAAAGGCGGAGGGAGCTCTGCCATCAACTGCCTGAGTCCCAAGATAACCAAAGACGGAAGGAGCTCTGCCATCAACTGCCTGAGCCCCAAGATAACCAAAGACGGAAGGAGCTCTGCCATCAACTGCCTGAGCCCCAAGATAACCAAAGGCGGAGGGAGCTCTGCCAACAACTACCTGAGCTGCATCAATGGAAAGCTGAGCCCAGATGGCAAATACACTGAGCAAAGGGCTACGAGGCGATCTCTGTTGCTCAGGCACACTGACGCTCTGCCAACAGTATACCACCGTGCGCCACAGTGTTTGCCAGCACATTTTGTTCTAAATATTGAGTAGCCTTTCATGGTGTGGTGAGAATCCGGCGCAGGCTTCGCCTCCTGGAGGCAGACAGCAACCGGACAATGGTGACTAAGCACAGCGTGTAAATCCTGGGCACTGGTTCGTCCCACTTCCGCAGAACTCGAAAGACCTTCATTCAAGAGTGACTGAAACTTCAGTGTGGATTATAAATAAACGGTTTAAGAACGGAAAAACATACGCATTTATCACTGAGCTGGTGCCATGCTACGATTAACTCACCAAACGTTATGTTTCATGTTGTTTTCCACCACAGCTGGTGCCCAGCACATCGATGGAAGCTGTGTCTCTCGCCCCATCGCTTCCGATGAAGGCAAGTAAGGATAAGGCAGAGGGAGCTCCAAATGAACAGAGTCCGCACTGCTACGGCTCTTGGCTCGCCGCCCACTGCCGAGGAGGTAGCGTATGGTGGTGCCCCCTCGGGGCGAAAGCGGGCTGCACACCGCGAGCCGGTAGGCGGCGCCACCGGCGGCTCGGACTGACCTGCCAGGCAGGTGATCATGTCGCGGTCGGCGAAATTGGCCGCCCAGTGCAGCGGCGTGTTGCGACTGAGAGGGCTGTCCCAGGCGTTAATGCCCAGACCGGCGGCCAGCAGCTGGCACACACGGCCCTCACTGGCGGGAGGCGAGACGCGAGGTCACACACAGCACCTGCCAGTACAGGGTGCCAGTACAGGGCAATACAAGGTCACAAACGGCACCTACTACCGGTAGATGGAAACACGAGATAACACATGGTACTAATGCCAGTAAAGGGGCACATGAGATCAGCACCCACTGTGGGTTGACGGAGACATGGGGTCACACAATGCACCTTGGCTTCTGGTAGAGGAAGACCCGGTGTCACATGCAGCTCTCACTGTTGGGTGAGATACGAGGTCACCCCACAGTGGGAATGGCGAGTTTGAGGTTATCAATCCACTCTCTGTCCATTCCTCACCTAGACCGTGCCCCCCCCCCCCCCCCCCCCACTCGTCCATCCTTCACCTGGACTTCGTGGCGGCATGTCCCCCCCCCCCCCGTGCCCGTCCCTCACGTTCACTCAGCGGAGAAATCCCTCTCCTAACCGGCTCTTCCCTCAGGCCCCTTCGCTCCCGTCCCTCACTTGGACTGGGCGGTGGCCTTGAACAGCTCGTCGGTGTACACGCTGCGCATGGTGTCAGAGGCGCTGAGGTGGACGGCTGTGTCGCCGTCGGCGTTCTGCACGCCCGGATCGGCGCCGGCATACAGCAGCGCGCGCACCACGTCCGGCCGGCCCAGCCGCGTGGCCATGTGCAGCAGCGTGCCCTCCGGCGTCCACAGGCCGGACAGCACGCGGTCCTTGGTCACGTGCTCGGCGTCGGCCTGCTCGCCTGCCGAGGCGAGCTCGCCGTCAGCGGATGAGTTAGGAGTGAGGTCTGCTGTGGCGGGACGCTCCCGCTCGTTGACGTCACAACACGGCGGGACAGTTGGCCCACGATCAGCTGACAGCGTATCAAGCTCGCGCGCCACTGGGCCTTCACGACGCACTCATCTGCTGAACCTATATGGCGTCGCCGCCTCTCACCCTGGTGGAAACGGTAGACACCGTGGGCATCGAACCCTGTACCTCTGGTTTCCCGGAGACATGGCGTAACCACCTCACTGCCGTTACCTCACAAATCAAGCTTGGTAGCCTTAATTGTTTAAGATAGTTGAACGAAATACGTCCGTTTTAATCCCCTTTTCAATCCTAACATTTCCCGTCTCGGATCTAAACTTTTGAGCCTATTCACCACAAATACTGCGGAGGTTCATACAAACCTGAAGAACATGGTATTGCTTTGGAGACATTTTCCTTCAGAACAAATTTGTTAGACAAAGCATCATTTTCACAATCTGGTTATCCTGAATTATTGTTTACATAACTGTAGATTTAAGTCGGCGCAGAGTTGGTTGCCGCATAGTCCTGCTCTCTGCTTACCCCCCCCCCCCCCCCACCCTCTTACTTTTCAAAGAAGCAATATCTGTGAATCAAGCTTTGCAAATTGCTAGCAATAATTTGATATATGCTCAAATTTAAAAGGCATAATTGTTTTTGTCCATGTATTATGACACTCGCTTTCTTACTCATCAGACCCCATTTAAAGATGATCTGATAGGTGGATGAATATCAAAGGATGGAAATGATGTTTGAGAGATGTGAAGGAAACAGCTTATTCAAACCACAAAACAGCCAATTCAGTAACTTTAACAAGAGAACAACCAATGTGATACCAGAAGTGCGGGCAGGGGAGGGCACAGGGGGCACGTGCTCCCTCCCCTTCGTAGGTCCTCCCCGAGGGGCCCTTCAGCCTCTCGGAACCTACGATAAAGGGCTCAAAAAACCAGCGAGAGGCCTCATTCAGGGCCCCGGCCCACGGGGCCGGCCAGGCACTTAAATGCCAGCCAGAGGGCTCTGCGCGCTGATCAGGGGCCCACTGAGTTAATAAGGGCCTACATTTCGGTCAGCCGCCACCAGTAACGCACAGTCGGCTCTGTGGCGGCACGCGCCTAAGCGCCCATTTCCCAAGCAGGGACAAAGCCGGAGCCAACGATTTACATTGTTCGGGGCCCAAAGCGCCTCACAGGGGCTCTGTGTTTTCAAGGTGCCTCGAGTCCGTTAAAGGCCATGTTGCTCGGGCCCGGTTTGACGGTCAGGGTCCGATTCAAGGGTTTAAGGGCATAAAGGGCTGGTCGGAGTCTTCTTCAGGAACCCAGACCTGCGAAGACGGACCCTCAAACAACGGGCGCAGATCGGGGACGCCCTGAGTCGACATGGGCCTATATGTCGGTCAGGTACCACCGTACCACATAGTCCGCTCCGTGTCGGAATGGGCCTGAGGACTCACTTCCCAATCCGCTATAAACCCGGAGCCAGTGATTTACTCAGGTCGGGGGGCTTGTATCTGTCAGGGGCTCCACAGTGCCTAACAGAGGGTCCTGTGCTCGCAAGGGAACAGGGCCAACCAAGGTTAGTGTTTGATGAAGCCCGAAGAGGGGTCCGGGCGGCACACCGGAACCGACTATCAAAGGCCCGGTTGAAGAGCATCCGGAACCGACTATCAAAGGCCCGGTTGAAGAGCATAAGGGCTCGAAGGACCAGTTGCATGTCACATAAAGAATCGCAAACCGTAGGGTCGTGACCTGACATATCAGCCAGAGGTCCTCTTGCATCGTTTCAGGAACCCCTGAGACAATGCAGGTTAAGTTGGTCAGAGACCACGAACATTGAAAAGGCGGCTCCATGTCCGTCTGAGCCCTTAGGACCTATTTCCCAAACGGAGACGAGGCCGGGACCCGCGATTTGCAATATTTGGGGTCCCGGACACAATGAGGTTAGGTCCCTGACAGTGATGTGTCGGTTGGGAGCCACAGTTCCGAACAGGGGTCCTGTGGCGGCAAGTGGCCCCGAGTCGGAGCGGTGTTTGAGGGCCCCTTCGGGCCCTTCAATGGGATATCGAGACCAAAGATCGAGGGCCCGATGGGATGGATGAAAAGTCCGAAGGGCTGGCTGTAGGCTACATTAGGAATCCCCGCCCATAGGGCCGTGATCTCAAACGTCAGTAAGATGATCTCTTGATAGGGACCCCTGAGACAAAACGTTCCTCTTTTTCGGCTAAAGATCACGAGCAACGAACAGTCGGCCACGTGTTGGTCTGAGCTCTGGGGGCCAATTTCCCAAGCAGGGACCAGGCCGGGTCCACAATTTACATTGGAAGGCCTATTGTGTCGTTCAGGGTCCCACAGTGCCTAACAGGGCATTCTGTGTCAATACGGGGCCTCGAATTGGTCAGGGAAAGATCTGTTCAACAGGGATGGGGACGAGAGACTGAATGGCAAAGGGTCTCTTGCGTTGGTCCAGGCCCTCTGACAACTGAAGGACACAAGAATCTGTGATGAGTGCTCACACTGAGTTAATAGAAGAGTCCTGTGCCGGTCAGGGCCCCCAGTGCCGAATGGTGGGCCCTCCATCCCTTTTCCAGCATGGGCCCGTTAAGCTCAACTGGAATTTATGTGCCAATTATTTGACCACCTGCGTGAGCGAGGATGTTGTTGCGTTAATGACGCCTCACGCGTCAATCCGGGGTCAACTACGCGGGCCAGAAGGTCTCCTGCTTCAGGGACCGGACCAACGAAACATGATATATCCCTCCAAGGGGCTTCGCATCGGCCAGGGCATATCGCCCCGTGTTGATGACGACCCGAAAACACACCGCGGTGGAACTGAATGGCCCTTCACTTCTTGATTGGGAATGGGATGGGACACGACAACAACTGATGGACCACACCGACATTTTACAGATGGGCAATGATAAAGGATGCCTTCAAATTTGGGAGAATATATTAATCAACAAACTCTCTCAAGCCCTTAACAAACAAATTCTTGTACAACTCTTGAGCTATTAGATGGTGCGTGGTGAGCACTATTGATGTGATTGTTGCAATAGTGTTCTCATTGTGTCTTGTACTGTTCCCATTGTGAGTGTATTTTATATGTATCAAAGTGAAAATAGGATTATGTCTTACTTCAATTGGCCATGCTTCATTTGTGTTCTTGATACCAAAAGATGTTTTCCAAGAGTGCAGAATTTGTATCCTTTAAAACTCAAAACTTATTTTTGGTGCCATTTAGTCTTCTCCCACAATGAGACCTCTGACAATGAGATACGATCTCAAAATATTAAACTGTACCAGACTTGCCAATGCTGAATTAGCACTTACTTTTCTATTGAGCATGCATAAAGCAAAGGATTCTGCCCATATTTTCCAACATATTTATATAAATATATTAGCATACATGTGTATATATATATATATATATATATATATATATATTCATAGATGCCCTCAATACCAAATGGGTTGCATGCAGCAGATTTGGGGGCCCTTTTACTATAAGGGGGCCCTTTAACAATCCTGTGCCCCCTTGCCAAGGCTCTGGCTGCACCCCTGTGGCACCACCAATCTGTTACATGCAGGTTCCTCTTGTATGTGCAGAATTTCTATCAAGGCAAACATTCAACTTGTCTGACATTTGTTGGACAAAAAAGAGGGCATGCATATCATCTAGCACATCAAACACATTAAAAAACACATGCTTAGGAATAGCCAAACTGACAGATGACTTGCAATCCTGATTTTGTATTGCCTTCACTATGTTACCATCTTCAAGTAGGAGGACATTAAACCAATAGTTACAGAAGACAGGTTACTGAAGAACAGGCTACGGCAATCCGTCAACAAATAACTGCCCGACAGTATGTTTTACCTACAGAAATGCCCAAACATGATAACCCCAAAAAATGAAAAATATGAAACAATACATGCTATACTGTCTCTTGTACATACAGCAATCAGTGTTGCGCAGCCTGCTTAACTACCTGTATATCAGTATCTATGCCTGTAAACAGCCACTTGTACATGGTCAGGTTGTTTATGGGTACTGATATGCATACACTGGTGATAAACAGGAGTGTGGTTTAACAAAATGAGATGGGGGTTACCTGTGAAATATGACCCAACATGTCCCCAAAATATGCCAACATAAAGCTTTTCCAGATTTGGACCACTTTCTTCAAAAATCTGGGAGGAACTGGAGGCCAATTTGTGGAGATGAAGTCTCCCCCTTCCCCCCACAACTGAATAGGAAGCTACATTCCCAGTCATGAGTGCAGCTTACATTGTTCACAGGCCTCAATCAAAGTTCGCAGGATATCTGTTCTTCCTGCCTCAATAGCAGCACGGATGTTAGCAATAGCTTCTTCAAGCATTTTGAGTAGGGCTCAGCTTCTTATAATCTCTTCACTACGACACCTAAGCCTTGTAGAAATTGCAACCTCGCATAAATATTAATCAGAATGAGAACAACCCAGATGTTTCAGCCCCCAATTTCAAGGTGAGTGATGTGAAAATAAAACTCAACACAATGAGCCCTGAATTGCTCTCAAAATTTGTGGCCCTTGAGAGCTGAATGCCGGGCTAGGCGCCCGGAGAGGGACGAGTCCTGAGGACGTGCCCGGATTTGCGTTAATTCCAGGTGACCCGTCTGAATGCATAAATAGTGACGAGTTAGAGGCAAACTTCCATTGACGTAAACAAAAAACGGTGCAATGGTATTCGTTATAACACGTCCTCGAGAATATTTAGTACGGATCTTGTTAAGGGAGAAGTATTTGTAGTACCCATTGTACTAAAAGTGGCGGCATTGGTTCGTCATATTTCACCACATTTCCGGCGCACAAGCGACGTATTGAATACGCGTTTCTATATCGCAGGTTAGACTGTACCTGACCGCCTTACACCGCCTGTAGCTAACCAAAGGGCCGGTGCGCGCAACACCATGTCGGATCTCCTAGGCGAGATGCAGCAGTCCATTCTTCAAGATCTGGACGATCACCCTAAGCATGACCCGACATGGGACAGGGCGCTGTCGGCATTCATGACTGGTGCCCCGCACAGTACGCAGGACTACGTCGAGCAAAATTGAGCGCTGGGTCGCGGAACATGTCATGTCAAGTTGAGGTCATGGAACGGAAAGTTGGGTAGCTAAACAGACAACACACCATAGAAATGTTCTTATGCAGACTGTTTTCTCTCAGTGCAGTGTTATGATCATTTTTGTATTGCATTTTCATGTGCACATTTGCATTGCATGTTCATCAGATGTCTTGTCATGGAAACATTCTGGCCTCTCAGTAAATGCCTATGGCTACAAGCTGAGGGTTAGTGGGGCTTTACTATCTGAGGTCTTTCTAGTCGTTCCAAATACAGAGTTTAAAGTGGTGGCACACATTTAAGTATAAATGTGCTTGGGGATGTGTGCAAGATATCTGGTGTGTGTATGCATTGAAGGATAAAGGTGGTGCGCATTGGAACTTACAATGTTTGTCTTGGGGCACCCAGCCGCTCCCTGCATGCCTGCACTGGGTGCCGGCTCGGCTCGGCTGCTGCTGTGCGTAGGGCTGGAAAGGAGTCCGATTTAATGTTGCCCAGTCTTTGTTTTCGTTGTGGCTAAAGAAGCAGGGGTGACTTGATACGATGATATGTGACGATGATGTGTTGTATTTGATGGTTTATGACGACCATGTGTTCGCCTGCGGACGGGAAACTGTACGCTGTGCTTGGTGCAGTCTCCTTTTTGGCCGCATAAATCGCTTGGATAGCTTGTGAGTGTTGTTTTATTGTGTCTGTGAGAAGCCCTTTGGACGGAATGTGTTATGTCTGGTTTAGGTGGAATGCATCCAAACTGTCGTCGTTTCGTGTCTGCTAAGGTGTGTTCTATCGATCTGAATACACTTGCATGACATATTGAAGCTGATGAGCCCGTTCATATCACCGTCCACAAAACACGTCGTCGAGTGTTTAGCCGGGATTATTGTACGAGGACCACTATGCCATTGCCATAAGAAGGCAATGACGTCCGGTGCATTGCACCATCTCGTTTCAAGGCTATGCCATTATACCGGGTATAGCGCGCGAGTAGTAGTATCTAGACCGAACGGTAGATGGCAGAGCGCCTCGCGGAGTAAAAAAATAGTCTAGTTCCGACCGCCGACTCGTGTGGACCTTCGCAGAGACAGTCTCGAACAGCCATTAAAAGAGTACAGCAGACGGGATCCTAAGAAATGATAGGTGTCAGTTGACGTAGCGCGAGACCTGTCTGCTCCAATTCGTATCCCGTGCATTGAGTTTTCTCGTGGGATCATCTGGGGTTCCGGTTCTACGTCGTTCTCCATACGAGTTACGACATGAAATAAACTAGCAATGTAGGCATCTGTATAATTAACATGCTTTAAGTCCCGTTGCTTTCAGAACGGATATACAGGAACGTTTGCAATGACTAATAATTTTTAATGGTTATGGATTCTCATCAGAGCTCTAGTTTTGCCGAATTTGTTGAGGAAAGCATTAAACACAGGACTGATTGGCCTGGGGTGCGGTAAACATCATGAGATTTGAATGTACTAAATGAACGCGACTGAGTCTAGTTCTGGGTATAAATGCCCGTTCCCTCCATTGTTACATTACATGCCCATTCTCTCCTTATGTGGGTGCCTTAGTTACATTTATAAGAGTACATTTCGGTTCCTATGCCTTTATGCTTTCCTTTGGTATCTGAGGACGGAGTGGCAAAAGGGATTCAGTAATTGGAAATGAGATCGAATATATTGCATCGTCCAAAATTCCTCACGGAGACCTGCAATCCGCGGGATTTTCATCAGTATAACGTGCTATTTTGTAGGGATACACGTCTTTACGGCAGAGTAAGGTGGTGGTGGGAGAAAGAGAAGGGGCGGGTTGTAAGACCGTTCGCTCAGCTGGGATTTGTCCGCGGCCCGGGAAATCGAGGCCCTCAACGAAATGCGATCTTAAGCCCCTGGACCACGTGGCGATCTTATGACCATTGGACGGCTCTGTTGACGTCCGAACTACTTACAAAAAAGAATGCATAGAAGTGATAGAAAGACGCAAACGCAAAATATTTGGGGAAGTTTCGCTGCGTTTCTATCGCTTTCATTCAATGTGTGCCCAACAATGCAAGTTTTAGTGGCCTCAGCTTTCCTGCTCCAAAAACTTGTTTCTCGTTCTTGTGAGCTAGTTATTGAGCTATAGCAAATATAAATGTATATGCAAAATTATATTATAAATATATTTATCTCCACCTCTGGTATTTGGCAAGATAAAATATTGTGCCAGAACATCAATAGCTGGGCCATTTCGGTCAGCGCTATTTCTAACACAGCTGACAAGGGTTGCTAGGATACGCATGTACGAAAAAATATATGTGCGCGGGGCAGAGCTTGCAATTTAACGCAAAGTAACCCATCCCGCCTCGGATGGCTGGACCGGGAGATAGGCCATCTTGCGCTCCAGCCAACTGAGCCAACTGGACGGACGGAAGGAAAAATTTGCGGAATTTTATGACTTTTGAGTTGACCTAGGGTCGCCGAATTTTCAGCCAAAAGTGGAAACCAGATATGATAAATGCAATAGTTTGGGTTTCACAGCAATTGGTGCAGTGGGCCCTGGTAATGACGTCATCGTCAGCTGATTAGTCAGTTCTCATTACACTTGTCCTACTCATTTTATACCCAAGCCTTGCCCAAGCCTGCCTGAGCCCACAGTCTTTCCCCGCAGAGTGTTGTCGGCCGGACGGTGAGGGGCGGGGAGGGATTGGCATATGCAAAGGGTTCCGCAAGTGCAATAATTGTATTATTTCGGTTTTGTAATTGAATGTGGTTTGAATAAATATTGGACTACCTTCAGTGTGCATTGGTCCAAAAAGTACTGTGGAGTGCTGGTGGGTGAGAGGGGCGGGGGGGTGTCACGGTTAGGTGGTATCCCGCAACAATGTTATTTTGTTAGTTAGCAACAACATCTGCTTGTCAGTGAGTTAAGGATAAATTTTGTGTGGTAATTGGATAAATTGATGTTTGCATTTACTTTGTAGGCAACAACATGGTTTATTTCACATCTGATTTGATGTCATCGTATTTCAATTATTTTATTGGCAGCTCGCCAATGAAGAAAGTTAAACTGATGAAGTATTAATTGGTTTTGATGAAGAATTATCCAAGCCTTTTGGGTGAAAAGGCTTGCATACCTTTTGAAATTCTGAAAAGGATGTTTGGGTTTTGAATGCTAATTGTGTTTATATATATATATATATATATATATATATATATATATATATATATAGTGGATGAAACAGGAAAGTTACACCATGTTCAAGCTTCCTTTGCTTAGCAAGATGTGGTCTATCCTGGTATTTTTATTTCTATTTGTGACTGCTTGACATGAATGTTTGGGGCCATGGACAGCACCATGTTGCCTGCTGCAAATTGCCTAGTAAATTTTATGATTGTGATGTCAAAACACAACAGTTGTAATATGACATGTTTACCCATATGTCTGTGATGTGAGATATTTTAGATATATGTTCATTGGATTGAAGCCATTGTCAATGCTCAGCAATGGCCCAATGTTATGCTAGCATTATCTCCAGACTGGCATTTCTTATTGAATTTGGCTGTCCATTTCTTTTGGTGATGCACACACTGTTATTTTTCAATAACTTAAGCCTTGTTAATGCCTTCCAGGTCATCAGCACAATGGGACAGAGGGTATCACGTGAAGACTTTGAATGGTCATACACGGAGGAGCCTCATGCCACAAGAAGGAAGGAAATTCTAAGTGAGTGCAAAAGATTAGAGAACCTGTTGCAGAGTCACTGGGAATGTGTGCTGACTCCATGTCTGCTCAGAATGAATGACAGGTAAGTTTCTGTGTGCTGTAGCTGGATGATGTCACCTCGATTGATTGTGGTAGGCAAGTCAATGTGCTATGTTTTTGGTATGCAGAATGCAGTCAGTGGGGGATGGGAAGACCGATTCCCAGATGACCTTCTGCTCTGAATACCTATGCTTGAAGAGTTACCCCTGGAACACCTACTCCCCAACACCTATGCTCAGGAAGATTTCCACTCAAGATTTGCACTTGTAAGACCTACTGCCCCAAAGACCTGCTATAAACACCTATGCTGGAAGACCTATGCACGAAAGGCTTCTTAATCTTGCATACGCGCTGGCGTAAGACCCCTACCCCTCTTTTACCTCTCTTTTACCCCGCTTTCTTTCTAAGATGTACTCCTCTTCTCAACGATCGGTGGTCTCCGGTTTCAGCCATATGCCATGAATAATGCATGGCTGTCATCAAACAAGCACCAATCGGCCCCCTCTCCTCGGGCCTCTGCTTCCATAATCTGAACCAACCCGGCCGTGACGCATTATATCTGCATACTCGGATCGGCGCACCCAACCCGTGCAGTCGTGCATTAGGTACGCCGAATGCGAAGGCGGGCTTATGTTGGAATCGGTCTGAAATGTGGTGTTTGTGCTTCATTGGTCAGAAATGAATTAATGGCCCCTTGAGCGAAATCGCGGGCTGATGATCGGGGTTTTAGCGCACGCCAACGGCGATGGTCATATTGCACCCAGATATTTCTCCAGCAAAACCCTGATATCACATGTCAGAGATGCATGCAGATGTAACAGCATATCAAGGTATGCTCGGACTCGATAAACGGACACCGCCAGGAGATGTTCACGGGGCAGGTCCTCCGAGCGTATGTCTTCCGAGCGTTCTTGTCCATAGCAGTAGGCCTTCCGAGCGTACGTCTTCCGGGCGTAGATATTGGGGTCTAGGTATTCACCATGGTAATAGATGCTGGGTACGAAGCCCGGTACGTAGGTGTAGTATGATTCTAGAAGTCTACATTTAGAAATCTGCGTATGATTTAGAAAGCTACCTATGTATATATATACATATATATATATATATATATATATATATATATATATATATATATATATATATATATAGATGTCTGTAGAAATCTATTGAAATATATAGAAGTGTAGAAAACCACGTAGTGCAATTGTGTGATAGCACTTGAGTTTCCAATAAATTGTTGGCGCCCTGTAACTGAAGCTGGCATGCCCAGTGTATTTGAATTACGATTCGGATACTAAATACGCAACAACACCCAGCACTTGCGCAGGACAGATATAGCCCCCGACCTTAACCGGCCGTCTCTAGCTGTAGTCTGCGGCCGCTCCGGTCCGCACACGCGACCTCGGCCAGGTCACGGACAATGGCCCGGAGGCATAAACACAGCCGGCCGCGCCGGCTAACGGCTGACTAGGCCGCGCCCGCACGACACACCCAGCAAGCATATTCCGAGTTTAAGGGGGGTGCCCCTCATTTATAGCGAGATTTGAGCTGATATAGCCATTTGGAAGATCATCCAATGCAGGTTACAGCTACGCTCTTTGTAAGACCCAAAACCATGTTGTTGCTGAGCTTAGCATCTACAAACCTGTGCACACTGTTTCGTGCAGACGGTTTGAGGCCATCCGGGTTTGCGTGACGGCATAGAAACGTCACGCGGTTACCACCGCCCCAGTGGCCATGTAGTGCTCAAGGTCAACGAAAATATGCTCACCGAGTTATTCATGTCTGACGGAATCCTAGTCAGCACGATTCGTGGCATCGACAAAGAAAGACCAGTCGGCTTTCAACCAGTTGAATACGTGGAGTGCAAATTTCAAACACGAACCACGTTTTGTGCTGCGCAATGCGGAAATGTGGTCAGTGGCAATAATTATTGACAGAAACAAGGCTGGAAATCGAACGACCTAAAGGGTTGTTTCACATTTATATTAGGTTTTGAACTGAAATAGCCATCTTGAGGACCTTTTGGTGCTGTTCACGATCCTACCATTCGTAAGACCCAAGCCTCTAGTTTCCGAGCTACGCGCTCGGAAAATGGGGAAGGGCATATCGACGAGATTTTTTAAAAGTTACCTTGGCATTCATGACGTCGTAATAACGTCATTCAAATGCCACCATTACATAAGCTACGCGGCGATGAAGGCCAAGAAAAGCACAGTTGTCGAGGCGTTCACATCTGGTGTTCGTGAGCGGGTTTCCTGATATAACGGCCGTCAATTGGCTCTCAATCAATGTTGTGCAAGGGACCATGACGTAATCAAGCCATGACGCATTGAGGAGCATGTTTACTGAAGAGAGATTGTGCTGTCTAGAGCAGTCTTTCCCACTTAAAAAGAACATTAATTGTTATGAATGAGCTTATTTTATCGTATCTGATGTTTGTTTCCATATCCTTAGATTTGACACATTCCCTTTAAAGGGAATGTTCCACATGGCAGTATGAAGGCAAGCATCAGATACGATGAAGTAAGCTCACTTATAAGCTCAGTTGTTGGTCTGTTTGAATGCAACTGACTGCTTAAGACAACAAAATTTCGCTCGCAGTAAATGTGGCCTCAATACGTCATCATTTGATGGCGTAACGAACGTTTGACGATGTCAGAGTTGCTGCCAAACTGGACGCACGAAATTGCCAACGTAGTGGACAGGCTCACTCACCCACTCACTCACTCACTCACTCACTCACTCACTCACTCACTCACTCACTCACTCACTCACTCACTCACTCACTCACTCACTCACTCACTCACTCACTCACTCACTCACTCACTTACTCACCCACTCACTTTTGTCTCTTTCGCACTTTCATCCCTTGCTCTCTCACACTCACCTAGAGTTAAAAGTTGACAGCATACGGAGGCCAGTGAACCTTTAAAAGGGTGATTAGAAGGGACAGTATTCCACTACATGTTCAGCGCAGTGGTGGGGGTATGGGCCGTAACCATGCTGGCCCCAAGTGTCTCAGAGAGCCTGTAATAGTTCCGGGAGTGCGGCTGACCTCCGTTGGAAGGGGGAGAGCCAGCTTCTAAGAAGAGGCCGCTGTGGTCCTGTCTCTGCCAGCCCAGCTAGGGCGGCAGGCGGGAGTCGGCCGGTGAGGGTGTGGCAGCCGCCGCTGCCGGTCAGTGGTCGGGGAAGAGGCGGCCTCTCGGCGCCGTCATAGCCCGATACAGTGCGCTGTTTCGTGACTCCTTATCTGCAGGCCACTCAGATTATGTACCCAGGTGTGATTCAAGCTCGGGAAATTTGTGGACTTCCCGAGCCGAGCTACGATATCCACCATTGCTCGCTGCTGAGTGCTCAGTGCACGTTTGTTGAGGTTGATAACCACGAATTCGAAGGAAATCTGGTCGCCGAGGTTCCACACAGTGGTGATGTTTATTCCTGATAGCCCCTCGCTTGCCTGACGATTGTGATTTGCTCATGACCACACCTGCATGCCGTATTGTGGTTATGAGCCTGCGTCTGATCGCCGCCAGGCCGCCTGTAGCGAGTGCTGGTGGCTTACGACTTTCGTCCCCTGTCCGGTCCCACCGTCGTCTCTCCCCTGACCAGCACCCTCCGTCGGCAGAGAAGCACCCCGAGATCAAGACACTGTTTGGTCGCGATGAGACCATGCCGTTCAAGGTCACGGCCATGGTGGTCTTCCAGCTGGTCAGCATCTACCTGGTCAGCGGCCGGCCGTGGCTGCAGGTGACGCTGCTCGCCTACTGTCTGGGCGGCGTCATCAACCACTCGCTGATGCTGGGTGAGTGACGTCTGCGGCAGCCCGGACCCGCTGGCCGGCCGGGGACGCCGCCGCGAGCTCAGCGGGGGTGGCCGCACCCGGCCGACGACGGGGGCGCCAGCCGCCATTGCTGTCTGGCCTCAGCCCTGTCTGTTGGGCCGGCCGCGTGGGCCGATGTGTCCAGCCGTTCGACTCAGCATTGATCCAGTCTGATCGGTGTGTGTGCAGAACGAAGCCAGCTTTGCGGCACTGCGATGGTCTGTTTGGTGCCATGCCTTTGCGTGACCTTTCTGCCGATCGTAGTATGGATTATGTCGGTTTGGCGGAGGCTCAAGAATTGTCGGGTGGTATCTATTGACTATCGCCTTCTGTCGTCACTGGGCTTGTGGTTGGTGTGTCGCACCGGCACAAAGCACAAAGATAATTGGTACTAAATTGTGAACCGACGCGTCCTTCAGTCACTGTTTGAGCACACTCGCCAGAAGTCACTTGGTTTCACTGGCAAGCTCCGGTTCTAAACGACGCGTTTTCGTGACATTTAAAGCGGCGCCCCTTATTTCCGATTTGCGCCGCTTTGTGTGGTTACGAAGCTTCCTTCACGATCGCGTGGACTAATACGAAGCGCCGCTTCACTAGCCGAGGCGCGCTGTCTGTCACATGATGCTGCCTGGCGCCCCGCGCGACCCCTTTTCCCTCCCGGCCACGGACGTGGGTCTGAGGCCGGCGCGTGACGCCGGCCTGAGCCCGGCGCGTGACGTGGGCCTGAGCCCGGCGCGTGACGTCGGCCTGAGCCCGGCGCGTGACGTGGGCCGTGTTCGCTCGCCGGCAGCCATCCACGAGCTGGCGCACAACCTGGCCTTCGGCCACAGCCGGCCACTGGCCAACCGGCTGCTGGGCATCTTCGCCAACCTGCCCATCGGTATCCCGTTCTCCGTGGCCTTTAAGGCCTACCACCTGGAACACCATCGGGTAGGTGCTGTCGGATGACCTGAGCTAGTGACGTCTGTCGGCTGGGTGCCGGGAGCATGCGGGACGGAGTAGGGCGGCGTCCGCTCACTCTGGCGAAACTTGGTATTCTCCCTCCAACGCTGGATATAATGTTGGCACTACCCATGGCGTTGCCGTTGAAGTCAGTTATGTAATGAGAGCAAATATTTGATGAGGTTTCCAACAGGCCAAATGAACCGGAAGCGCTCGGCATCAGCCGTCTACGGGCTGTAACTTTTTCGTCTGCGGATTGTAAGCAAAAAGCTCACCACTTCCATATTGCTCGAGGCGGAAGGCTTGTTTATTCTGGCTGAATAAAAGGATGAAATTCTAGAACTGTGTTGGGTGTTACGTTTCGTAAGTTTTCTCGTTCGTTCAGGACGCTGTCTGATTGTCCTCTCACATAGCACGGGATAGGCGCGGCGGCATCGCTTCCCTTGTAGCACCGGGCATTCGCTGTGTGAGCTGGCCTCTGGCACCCATGCGGTTGTCACCGGGGAAGGTTCGTCTGATGGTGGCATCTGCTGCCGGCGACAGCAACAGTGCCTCCCGCTCCCCTTCCCCCTCACGGAGGCTGTCAGTTCCTACCTCCACGTCATATGTAGATCCCGTGTCAGGATGAGGCCGCCGTGTCGTGTGCGGAGGCCACTCGGCAGCGCAGGCGAGTCAAAGCGCCGACTAGTTATCGGACACAATACGGCATTGTGGAGGATGCTGTAAATGCAGGTGACAATATTTTAACTTTTGCGTAGTGTCTTATACGCCTTACAGTTGCCTGTTTAGCAAAGTGGGTCTTAAGCGGCTCCGGGCCCGGGCCTCGCTCTGAGATCCGATCCGCTCCGCTTCAGTACCAGGGCGACGAGAAGCTGGACACGGACCTGCCGACGGCGCTGGAGGCGCGGCTCTTCTGCACCACCTTCGGCAAGTTCGTCTGGGTGCTTCTGCAGCCGCTTTTCTACGCTCTGCGGCCCGTCATAACGTACCCGAAGCCTCCGACGCGACTAGAGCTGGCCAACTCGGCCATCCAGATCGGCTTCAACGTGGCCGTCGGCTACTGGCTGGGTGAGTGCGGAGGAGCCGGACGGGGGTCTGTCGGTGGACCTCGCGCCGCTCGAGCCAGAGCGGAGGGGCCGGACGGGGGTCTGTCGGTGGATCTCGCGCCGCTCGAACCAGAGCGGAAGAGCCGGACGGGAGGTCTGTCGGCGGACCCCGTGACGCTCGAGCCAGAGCGGAGGGGCCGGACGGGGGTCTGTCGGTGGACCCCGTGACACTCGAGCCAGAGGGGAGGAGCCGGACGGGGGTTTGTCGGCGGACCCCGTGACGCTCGAGCCAGAGGGGAGGAGCCGGACGGGGGTTTGTCGGCGGACCCCGTGACGCTCGAGCCAGAGGGAGGAGCCGGACGGGGGTCTGTCGGTGGACTTTGTGACTCTCGAGCCAGAGCGGAGGAGCCGGACAGGGGTTTTGTCGGTGGACCTCGTGACTCTCGAGCCAGAGGGGAGGAGCCGGACGGGGGTCTGTCGGTGGACCCCGCGCCGCTCGAGCCGAAGCGGAGGAGCCGGGCGGGGGGGGGGGGTCTGTCGGTGGACCCCGCACCGCTCGAGCCAGAGCGGAGGGGTCGGGCGGGGGTCTGTCGGCGGACCCCGTGACACTCGAGCCAGAGGGGAGGAGCCGGCCGGGGGTACCTGTCGGTGGACGGAGACGGAGCCGTGGGGCGAAGGCTCTTGCGTCTGTCGGTGCCATATGAGGCAAGCGTTTTTGAATGTTATTTCAGCGACAACAGGACAGTGGATTCTGACAACCTAGTCCTCCATTACCCGCTTATTCAAGCACACCGTCACAGATGATCTGGTGCCAGGTCCTGACAGCACTATTGGCTGGTTTAGCACGTGATGGCACGCCTCCAGCGGGCTCGGCGTGCGGGACGTCACTGGTGACCATCGCTTGCGACAGGTGCCAAGGCGCTCTTCTACATGCTGGGCGGCTCCCTGATGGCCATGGGCCTGCACCCGGTGGCCGGCCACTTCATCTCGGAGCACTACATGTTCCGCAAGGGCTACGAGACCTACTCCTACTATGGTCCCCTCAACGCCATCACATTCAACGTGGGCTTCCATAACGAGCACCATGACTTCCCGGCCGTGCCGGGGAGTCGCCTGCCTCAGGTGAGGCGGCTGCCACGGACAGCCGACTGCCTCAGGTGAGGCGGCTGCCACGGACAGCCGACCGCCTCAGGTGAGGCGGCTGCCACGGACAGCCGACCGCCTCAGATAAGGCGGCTGCCACGGACAGCCGACTGCTTCAGGTGAGGTGGCTGCCACGGACAGCCGACTGCCCCACGTGAGGCGGCTGCCACGGACAGCCCGACTGCCTCAGGTGAGGCGGCTGCCACGGACAGCCGACCGCCTCAGGTGAGGCGGCTGCCACGGACAGCCGACCGCCTCAGGTAAGGCGGCTACCGCTAACAGCCGACTGCGTCAGGTAAGGCGGCTACCGCTAACAGCCGACTGCGTCAAGTAAGGCGGCTACCGCTAACAGGCGACTGCGTCAAGTGAGGCGGCTGCCATAAACAGTCGCCCGCGTCAGGTGAACTGACTGTCCCGAGTCGTGCAGTCGCCCACCTCAGGCGAGAGGACAGCGCAATGTCGGGGAGCCGACGCCGGGGTGCGTGGACTGGTTCGTGTCGGGACTGGGCAGCCGATATCCGTGGGGCCGCGCCGCCGCATGACCGTCACTGTGCGCGGTCCAGTTCGTGTGCCCGTCTGGTCTGGGCTGCTCGAGCGACTGGCGCGCCCGCTACCACCTGTGCGCCTCTGCCACCAGGTGCGAAAGATGGCGCCCGAGTTCTACGACGACCTGCCGCAGCACGATTCGTGGACTCGCGTGCTCTACGACTTCATCACCGACCCAGAGATCGGGCCGTACGCCCGCATCAAGCGCAAACATCGCGCTCTCTAGTGGCGGCCGCCCGCTCCGGCGCGGGGTCCGCTCCGGCACGGCTTCCGCTGCGACTAGCTAGCCGGCTGCTTTGACGCCTTGCTGCCGTCCGCGCTTTCGACACTGCGGCAGCCCGGCTGCCGTCGCGTCTCAATGCTCTGGCCAAAGGCACTGCCTTGTGCGGCCGGCCGTGTGTCTCGCCTCAATTCCGGCCCTCGGTTGCCGTGGCGGGCAGCCGGCTGCGGTCCGGACGCGCGCCGACGCTCGAAGTCGCACCAGGTGGCGCCATCCGCTGCGCTGCGAGGGCGCGTCGCTGTAATTGCCGTGCGAGTGACCGATACTGGCTGAGCCTTCGCCGCTGCCCTCGTGTTGAGTCGCCGGCCCAGCGGCGGCTGCGTGTGCTGACTCCGGTGGCGTTTGCTCGATGTGGCCCGCACTGACCGCGCTGAGCACTCGCAGCAGACCGGCACCGCCGCTGCCAGATGACACTTCCAGTGACGGCTTGTGAGCAAGCAGGTTCGCTTATCGCCAGATACGTCGTTGGAGAAACGGGGCGAGACAATCATTCGCGCCGTGTATACATTATTGGGCGGAAGCCGTTTCGGTGAAGTGTGATTACAATGCGGGTTCGTCGATTACTTCCAAGCAGGAGCAATGACTTCCGAGACTCTAGTACACTTAACAGCTGAACTAGATCCACATTAATAGGTCGGGTGATGTTGTCGAAGACATTTTTTAGACGGATTGACAGGGCATATATCGCTTTATTCCGGACAGGGAGGCAAGCAGGATGTCCCAGATGTCTGTGTACGAAGATCTGCTTAACTGAAGTTGCATTGGGAAAAAGGTGATGAATCAATGCGCTTAAGCGGGTACAACTTATAACCTACATGCCTTGCTGGTATTTTCTGGTTTTCGATTTTGTCCACTTCAGCGATACCTTTGGCTGTTGGTTATGAAGCTGTGCTGCCTTCTGTGCCTGTCGAGGTGGTAAGTCTCACCAACGTCAGATCTGAACCTGTGAAGCTTTATGGAATCAGCGCAATACATGGCTATTTTTGGTCCACTTGGCGGTATGAATTGCGAGTCATGCGGGTGGCATGCTGTGTCTACTGGCCGGTGGCAGCAGGGACGGCCCGGGCGAGGGCGGCTATTCAACAGCGCGCCCGGTGCAAGAGGCGTTGTCTGGCAGCTACTGCTGTCCGGTCCAGAAATGACTCACGTTCATTGTCCAAAATCCAGTGACAGTACGAATATGAGGGTGCGGAGTGGTAGCTTCAAGCCATGTCTCGGAGTCACGTATATAAATGTAATGTCATTTGGCTATGGTACTGGGCTCAACACGACAAAACCGCGTGAGCTTGCGCCGTTGCTGGCCGATGGACGCTGGTGTAGCACGTTCGATGTACGATAGATGTTTGTTGCAAAAAGGGTGCACAGAAAACGCGATACGCTCCCGCCAGTATCCTGACTTCAATGGGAAATCACAATCGGACAAGGAGGTCAGCGCGCCGGACTCGATCGCGCAGGTCGTCTTTACGGGAGCGGGCCGCCGTGCTCCCAGCGCCCTGGAGGGGGGCAGGGAGCGTCTGCCCTGACACACGGGGCAGGCGAGCCGAGCCAGCCATGGGCCTGGAAGTGACGCCGTACTCCAGCGTCGGAAGGGGGCGGACGTCTGCCCTGCCCGGGGCAGGCGAGTCCGAGGCCACGACGGCCTGGCGTCCGCTGTGCTCCAGCGGCCCGGGAGGAGACGTCGCCCCGCCCGGTGTAGGTGAGCCGAGACTCGCCGGCCCGGCCGCCCCGATGCCTCACCAATGGCGCAGTCGCGGGTCGGAGCATACTGGAGCCAGGCCTCCAGATGTCCGCGGGCGGGCTCCAGCAGAGCCGTGTACACCGTCAGCTGCAACAGGGCGCGTTCCACCTCAGCACGCGTCACCGCGGCGGCGCCGGGCTCACCTGGCCAGCGTGCTGCTCTGACCGCGCCTACAAAACAGCCACAGAACACAATCATGGCATGGAGCCGAGAGACGCTTCGTTCAATGCGCCCTGACGCCTCGCCCCTCCGCCCCTCCGCCGCCATGCACCGGCGAAACGCACCCGATTTCTGACTGGCTTCGAGTGGAGCACATCGTACAGCCGGGCCGGGCTGAGCGCAGCCTGGCCGAGCCGGTCCATGCAGCGCACGCCCGGCCCACGCCGGTTGTCGAAGAACGGCGGCCGCTTCCAGTGGTCGTAGTTGGTCTGCAGCAGGTACCTGAGGGCGCGGCGCCGGTGTCGCGTCACCAGGAGCTGGGGGCCGACGGCTGGCCCCGTGCCGGACGTCACACCTGGTCACCACAGCGGAGCTGCACCGGACGCTGTACTCTGCATGCTTCACGAGCCCGCGCACGTTTCTCCCTCATATTGTCACGGATACGTTCCCGGCCGCATCATCCCTTGCGTCCGCGTTAATGCGAGAACATGTATCGACGACTGGCTCCCAATGACCGTGATCTCATGGACCTGGCGCGGACGAGATGGTCTGATCCCTATCTGATCTGATCTGGTGGTCTGGTCTGATGGTCTGGTCTGGTCTGATGGTCTGATCATCATCGAGATCGAGATCCCTTTTGCTTCAAATGTCACCGTCACTCTTTCGACAGAGATTGATGAATTATTGGAGTTTTCGGGCGCGTCGACTGCCGGGGTCGTTTGCGCCCGTCCCAGATTTTGTCGCATTTACAATAGTTTGAAAGTGCGTTTAGTTTACCTGCATTTTGCTTTATTTTAGAATTTTCCTTCATCTTGAAATTTTTTCTGATACAACATGCCTTCTAAATGACCGATTGGGCGGTGCTATATGGCAATGCACCTGGCGACTCGAGTAGGGGTATTCGATGAGTGGAGTAAGTACAAGCGACGGACTTACCTTCCGTCGAGCTAGATTCAAGAAAGAACAAGCTTACCACCGAGACTTCTGGGTGAGTGAAGCGATGCCCAGGGGCCATATGTCCGCCTTGTATTGGTCCCTGGTGATGACGCAGGCCTGAAAGGCGTTTGGTGTTTTGGGGAGTTCGATCTTGGATAACCGAGCTGCCATCAGTGCCGGCGACCACGACACACACACACACACACACACACACACACACACACACACACACACACACACACACACACACACACACACACACACACACACACACACACACACACACACACACACACACACACGCACACGCACACGCACACGCACACGCACACGCACAGACACAGACATAACGCGATACCTGTGTTGCCGATGGTGTAGTGGTTAACGCGTCTGCATTGGCCACTGCGCGTCTGGGAAACCAGAGGTACCGGGTTCGATTCCCCGCGGTGACCGCCCTTCTAACCAGGGTGAGAGGCAGACGACACCATAAAGCCTCCGCAGCTGAGTGCGTCGTAAAGCCCCAACGACACAAGCGCGATACCTGTCATACATTAAATAACGCGACGCAACATTACTGGTTTGGGCCAACACGACCGTGATCCCATGAATAAATCCATGATCGTGTAAACGCAAATGTTTCCAGTGCGAAAACACGCGACATGCTGGACGCTGCACAGTGTATCATCAACGAAATGGAATACCCAAAGCAGAAAACGTGCGTTATTGGCAACAATGTTCAAGATGTCTGCCTCTGAACAGAGAATACAGCTTCCTGGTATGACACCGTCTACCAGCTCTGGCGCATGCGTGCAAATTCCAGGGATTCGAGCCAAAGCCGTACCAAATGTAGAATTATTATCCCCTTCACCATGTTCCTGTGTCGGAGAGACTGTGGTACACGATAACCACTGGGGAACCTGTGGCATGTCATGACCACTGGGGAGCGTGCGGCCTGTAGCGTATGGTGTTTGCTGGGAAGCCTGTGTTCGTCCGAACAGTGTGCGGCCCCGTGAACAAGGAGTCTGTGATCCCGTGTTGGAGGAGCCCGCGACCTCACGGAGGATCCCGTCGTTGGACCGGCAAGAAGCTGGCGGTTCCGCGCTTGAGGTGCCCGGCAGGAGCCGCGCGGCCCGGCCCCACTCGTCCGCGGGGAGGCGGGCGGCCCGGTCCCACACACCCGCAGGGGGCCGCGCGGCCCGGCCCCACTCGTCCGCGGGGAGGCGGGCGGCCCGGTCCCACACACCCGCAAGGGGCTGCACGGCCCGGCCCAACACGCCCGCACTTCATCAGGCCCACCTCCCCGGACTTGTTGCCGGCCAGGATGAAGTAGACCGGAGCGATCAGCGCCGTCTTGGCCAGCTGCTTTTCCACAGAACCATAATCGGTGCCGTTCTCCAGGACCTGGGGAAACAAAGTAGAAGTGAGTGGGGTAAGTGATTTGCTGGACAGTCGCGTTTGCCACACTAACTTCACTACTGAATTGTTGATGAACTAATGACTAACTTACCAGAACGAGCACACGCACACCTGCATCGCAGTTCAACAGTTATGAAGGCCGAATGAGTGTCAAGCACGCTGCGCCATACAACGAGCTGAACACTATCTAGCCAGGCTCTCCGTGGGGTGTCCGTCAGTGGAGGTCAGAGGCCATAGCGGGTCAGGTCACGTTCAAACCTGTAGAAAGCCTTAAAATATCCGCCACCAATCGATTTTTTGGGCGGCATCTTACGGACAGCATCTCGCCGAAATGAGCACAGATCACGACCATGCCATTCACCAATCAGAGATCACGCCTGGCATGAACTGCAACGCATGCACCAGTGCTCATCACCGAGAACACAGCGCGCAAAGCCTGCATCTGTCCTGGACGGAAAACCACACCCGCGGCGACAGAATCTTGTGGCGGTAACCTAAGTTCTTCACATATGCCCTTTTTAATGCTGCTTTTATAAGGCAGTCTTAATTTGGTACCAAAGCTGAAATGCAAGAAACTTAGGACCGACCAAAACGAAACACACCAAGCGTTTCATCGTCAGGTATATTACAATTTCGGTTGAATTTTGCAACGGGGGCGTTTTCATGTCGTCATCATGTGCCTCTCTGTCATTTCGCGTTTACAAATTTGTTTCCCGGGACCAATTCACTGAGTACCGCGCTCGTTGAGAAGTGAAAACAGCTTCTCGGGTGATGTATCGGGCCATTTTAATAGACCTGGCAACATTCCATGGGCATGGATCCTACTATACGGTTTATCCTACTGTCCACGCATTTCACAATTTTGGCCGAAATTAGTTCCTTGTCTGAAAAAGCCAGCACGAAGACAGCTGCTGTGAGCCTGCTCACCTGTCTTGTGATGACGGTGTTCCACTGGACTTTGGCTCCAAACGCCCACTGCAGCATGTACCAAAGCCCCGGCTTCAGTGTGAACCTCTCGTCAATGGTCAGCGAGAAGAGGCCCTGCAACACGATGGTGAGACAACAGAGCTGTTAGCTGGGAACCTCTCGTTAATGGTCAGCGAGAAGAGGCCCTGCAACACGATGGTGAGACAACAGAGCTGTTAGCTGGGAACCTCTCGTCAATGGTCAGCGAGAAGAGGCCCTGCAACACGAATGGTGAGACAACAGAGCTGTTAGCTGGGAACCTCTCGTCAGTGGTCAGCGAGAAGAGGCCCTGCAACACGCATGGTGAGACAACAGAGCTGTTAGGTGGGAACCTCTCGTCAGTGATCAGCGAGAAGAGGCCCTGCAACACGAATGGTGAGAACTCCGAGCTCTCAATGACTCAGCGAGGTCCCACCGGCACCTCTGATCGGTCGCGTGCCAGACCCACGCGTCACCGCTCCGCTCACAGGGGCGGTACCAGATGCCGCGTCATTCCGAGATCACGTCATCCACTCGTCTGCTTGATGCCACATCTAACAGCGAGTTACTTTAAATAGAACAGGTCCTGCCAATAGTGATAAGCTTTCTGTCGACCCCGAACAATGACACTGTCATATTCCGATAAACCTAGCCGTAGCCTCGTTCCTCGCAGACGAGGAGACAACACCCAGTGACATCTGCCCACTCCAGGCTCTGCTGAACGTCGCCCGTTACAGACGTACTGGACGCACTTCAGTCATAAACCCAAATTACAGACGTACGGGCGTCATTCCAGGCAGTGTCCCGATATCAGGCGTACTGGCTTCACTGCAGTCAACACTCTCATTACAGGCGCGCCGGTCTAACTGCAGTCAACACTCTCATTACAGGCGCGCCGGTCTAACTGCAGTCAACACTCTCATTACAGGCGCGCTTGCTTCACTGCAGTCAACACTCTCATTACAGGCGCGCCGGTCTCACTGCAGTCAACGCTCTCATTACAGGCGCACCGATGTCACTGCAGTCAAGATTTTCATTGCCGGCGTACCGGCCTCACTGCAGTCAACATTCTCATTACAGGCGCGCTTGCCTCAGTGCAGTCAACACTCTCATTACAGGCGCGCCGGCCTCACTGCAGTCAAAGCTATCACTACAGGTATGTCAACCTCACTGCAGGCAACACTCTCATTACAGGCGCGCCGGCCTCACTGCAGTCAAAGCTATCACTACAGGTATGTCAACCTCACTGCAGGCAACACTCTCACTACGAGCGTACCGGCCTCACTGCAGTCAACACTTCCATTACAGGCGTGCCGGCCTCACTGCAGTCAACACTTCCATTACAGGCGTGCCGGCCTCACTGCAGTCAACGCCCTCATTACAGGCGCGTCAACCTTACTGCAGGCAACACTCCCATTACGAGCGTACCGGCCTCACCCCAGTGACAAGACACACAGCCACATTCCGTTACATACCGCCACGAAGCCCGCCGTACCCCATTTAATACCCCCGCCACAGACGTAGTGCTCGTACTTCGCTTTACCGCTGGGATTCCGTCCCAAATGTACGACAAGCGCGCGGAACATGATAAGCCGAGCATGTAAAACTGCGCACTCCGAGTCCCTGCAAAGACATTGCATTCTTTAGGTCGACATAGACCAGCTGGTCTACTAGTCCAGCACCCGTCTACTCAAATCAAATTCCACTAAATGCGACATGATGTTCCCGATCTTCCGGAACTCTCCCATTGGTTTGAAGCAAGATGGGGTTATTAAGAAACGTTGAGCGGATTCGCGTGACTTGCATCATTTTGAGCTTCACATATGCATGTTTGTTAGGCCTTTTATCCACAGCACTGGGGCTGCCCTGATGTCCGATCTCCACGACAAATAATCGGAAAAGGCATAACGGTTCGCCTGCGCCTTACTAGCTACAGCTGACACTTGAACATTGTCAGAAATTTTCGGATAACACTTTCCATCGCGTTCTGGCACATTGCATTGCTTTAATTAAATCAGGTTTCACGACTTAATTTGTTTCTGCCCTTTGTCATCAGCCCAGTGGCGGGCCTAGGGTTCCGTCAAAGAGGGGGGGGGGGGGGTCACGCAACATTGTGGACCCCTCCAAAAAGAAGAGATTCTCGCATCCGGTAATCAAATCTAGATATTACGCACGCTCATTATGCATTACGTATGTTAGCTGTTCCATGAGCGCCCATCTTCCCGTGCACAACCATAAGAAACTAGACGTGGCACGTATGACCATGCATGGGGCGCGTGCATTTTCTCCGAATCTTGGTGGAGCCTGTCATTTTGAGGCTAAGTAGGTCGTAGAAGATGCGACAAAATGGACTTCGTGAGCTGTTAAATACCACCAAAATAAAGCACGGCATTTGATTTCCGGGTTATCTACGGCTAGCCGGCTTCCGACAACGACCCGCCTGGTCAATGTGATTAGCTGATGACTGGCGACTAGCTTAGGGTTTTTGCTTTGACTGTAGCTAAGGAGAATATAATATCCTACCATTCAAAATGCATTAAGGACATGATACACAAGTAAAAAAAGTGTCACAATTGTTTAATAGCCAACGGAACTGCAGCTTTCGGCAGAGCGTAAGATGATGTTCGGCAATTGCGCGTCAAAATTCATCGCCGCATATCCGACCGCTGCTCGAAGGCTGGGGCATCAAGGGAGACCGTTATCGTGTAGATCCCTAACTTGTGTACATGTATATGATGTGCATGTGTATGACACACGGTATGATTAACGCGTGTATGTGTACATTAAGTAATTTAACAGGCCGGTACACAAGAGCAGGCGAAACGCCCTGGCACTCGCGAGCACATGTGGGGGTTTCGGCAACAGAGTGTGGCCCGTCTGACTTCATGGGAAAAGCCCACGAGCAAGGTGGAGCGCCCCGCAGAGGTCGAGAGTGCCCCGGCTGATTAACATTCGGGCCACATCGGCACCATACCACCCCGATGAAATGGAAAACCCAACACAAACAGATACGGTACCTGAACGATCGAGATTGCCGCGACAGGCCAACAAAGTAGCTCCCGTCATCAGTGTAAGGTCTTCACAGCAAGCGAGAAGGGCGCCAAGGTCAATGTGGTGGGCCCCTGAACGACTGGGGGTGCCCCTACAGGTTAACACAGAGGGCCACGGCCAGGGCGCAGAGCTCTCCGGGCAAAGAGTGTCGTGATCGAAAAGGTGCCTTATGTCTTGTGTGTGTCTTGATCCTGATCTGATCAAGAGTACCCGGGCAGGTAAAAATAAGGGACCCAGACAAGAGTGGCAAGTCCTTCGCAAATGAGATGAAAAGGAAAGAGCCCCAGATCAATGTGGAGGATTGCTGAGCATCAAGTACCTCGGTGCGTTAACTTATATGGGCCCCAGCAACAGCGCAAGGTCCTCCGGGCAAGTGGAAAGAACGCAAGACGAATGTGAAGGGCCTTAAGCAACGGAGAGTACCCCGGAGGTTAGCATATGGGGTCCCCTGCTATAGTATATAGACATATAGAGCCTTTCGTGCGAATGGGAAGAATCTGTAGAGAGCCCGTGATTGCCAAGAGTGCCTCGGCATACTAGCAGATAGTGACAACAACGTGGGGCCCGGCAACAACGTAGGACACTCCGAGCAAATGCAAAAATTGAGGGGAGCATGAAAGGCTCTCAAGAGTTTGAACTGAACCTGAAACTGATCATATAGGGCCCCCGGCAACAGCGCAGGGCCTCTGGACAACATAACGAGCCTTAAAATTCCCCAGTTCCGACCCTCTCAATCATCGAAGAATTATTTTTGTCTGCCCTTGGGCCCTCTAATATCGCTTGTTCTTTGACGCCCGAGGGCCCAAAGACGCCCATTTTTACGCATTTTGTGCTTAAAAAAACTGCGTCCGTTCGGCCCGCTATGGGTCTCTTCGGAGCGGAGGAGCACCTTGGGGCCCCAGGGAGGGAAGGCCATGGCCCCGGGGTCCCTGTCTGTTTCCACCACTGCGTCAGCCTGCGAGCATTCTGCACCCGTCTTTCCCCTTTCTCACTGGAACCTTCGGAGACCCCTGAGCTTCGACGTGTTTCAGGTGGGTGACTGACGTGGGGATCTGTGTTGGCGATGCTGATGGACTGCTATTAAAGTGGGGTTACCGCTCCTGCATGCCATGACTCTTCTACCAATCCGACTTAATTGAAACGGAATACTGTACCTATTGGCAATCTTTCAGAATCGTGTGTTGTCGTTGTCGTTGTTTTTTGCTTTCTTTTTGTTCAGAGATTCATCCCGACAATTTTTGTTACAAGAATTTCTTGGGATCAGCACCCACGCTAGCAGTGCATATTCCGTGAGCTCAGGCCCCACTATCCGATCGTGAAATTCTAGGTCTACAGCACGTCATTGCGGCGAAAACTGACGTGCCGCATCGCTCGGTGCGGTCCGTAGTCCCCTCTGACCCCAGCTGCACGTGCGGCCGCTGTCACCGGTCACAGACCAGTCTAGCCAGGGACAAATGGCACGCGCCTAAAGCGACTCAAACCCACCCCTTCACTGGCGGGCAAATTCGAAGGCGGCCACCCAAACCCACTAAGCTGCCGGGAAGGGAGCAGTAGCGACGTATATGAACAACATAAAAGTACAAAACATCAATTAAGTACCCCTGACACGGACGTGCTAAACACATTTGGTCAACACCCCAGTCACAGACGTGCCGGCCGCACCCCCAATCGACACCCCAGTCACAGACGCGCCAGCCACCCCCGGCCAACACCCCGTCACAGACGGTCGGCCGCACCCGGTCCAACACCCCGTCACAGACGTGCCTGCCCGCACCCCGGCCAACACCCCGTCACAGGACGTGCCTGCCGCACCCCGGCCAACACAGGACGTGCCGGCTGCACCCCAGCCAACAACCCAGTCACGGACGTACCGGGCCGCACCGCAAGCCAACACCCCGTCACAGACGTGCCGGCCGCACCCCGGTCCCGTGGTACAGATGTGTCCAATCGTGTTCCAGTTTATACCACTTTAACGGGCGGTGTTGGCGTAGCCCAGTCAAATACCGCCACTTGTGGGAGCACCACCGCACTTAAGTTAACACCTCTAGCGCGCACGTACCGGTCGTACTCCAGTGAGCACGCCCACCATGCCTGCGAAGCCGGCCGTGCGGAAGAGGGTGCGGTTGTTCCTGGTGTACTCGAGCGTCACGGTCATCGGCCGCAGGGCCTCGGCCACCACCCAGGTGTGATTGGTGCGGTCCCAGCTGCGCACCAAACGGGAGAGGGGCAGGTCAACACACGGACGCTCGGCTCACGGCATCGCTCTGCGGAGAACGAAACCAAGGCGTGTGACAAAACTCAGCCAGACTTAGCAGCTACCTATTCTTTCATTCGAACAAAATGTGTCTAGGCCCACAGATCGTTTTGACGGCAATAATTTAAAAACAGCGACGTGCACCAAAGATGATTCGTTGCCTTCTAGAATGAATCTGAACACGCACGGAGGCAGACAATCAGCCTGATGTGGCGCAACAGAGATGAAAAAGCTTCTGATTTACTCGGATATGATGGGTGAGAAAAATTAACACTTTTGCGAACCAATTGGGGCAATATTGCGAAACTGCAAACAAATTTCAACCGACCAGACCGCATTAAAACTGGCTATCCCAGCTAGACGAAACTCAAGGCTAAGTATTGGTCGGTACTCGTGAACTTATGCAGCGTGAACATATGTAGAACACACGTTGAAACGTTGGCGTTTTGCTGCATCAGCAAGTTAAGCAATAAGATGCTGCCAAACATAACACCTTAAATCAGAATGATGTTTAGCAGGTAATAGAAATTTACGTCAAACTCTCCTTTATCGGTGCTGACGTCACAGATCAGTAGTGACACAGTGTTTTTTCAATGCTCCTCAGATCAATACTCTTCACAGATTGTTCAGCCAACATTTACTTCGCATGCTTAGCAGTGTAAAATACCAAACAACAGCATATTACTAGTCAGAATTGTGGGCGGCCATAGCATCTTGCGACAAATGTGATCAGTTTGCTACGCAACGTTTTTAAAGCGTCGCTGCCATTTGAGACAGACGCGCTCGAGCACTCGCCACGAATGGGACGCTCGCAATCGAGCGAAATAACTGGACACCAGAATGGCCAATTTCATCGTTAATAATACACACCTGGTCACTAACTGAAGTAGTAACAGGCCAATCCGCCAGTTTTATCGCCAGAAGGCTGAGTCATCACCATTGGTGCCGGTTCCAAATCTGGTATAGTAAACCGACCAGACTACTCGGGACCTAAAGCCTTCGGTCACGGGGTGGAACGACATGAATAACCACCAAACAGGAATTAGATTCAGGGGCCCTGAAGATCCCATGTTTGTCCTGGAGTTCGTAACTGGCCAGGCCCTTCTGTTGCCAGTCGCCATGTCCAGCTGGGACCCATGTGGGTTCAATATGGGCAGTCATATGGGGTCCATCAGGGCTGTCTGATTGTGGTCCCATGTGGGCATGTCATGGGAAACCACCCGGGGCCCATATGGGCAGCCCACCTGGGGCCCATATGGGGCCAGACTTGGAATCCACATGGGGCTCATCTGGGCTGCCGAGTTAAGGCCAATTTCGCGTCCCATGTAGGCATGTCATGAGCAACCAACGGGTCCCACATGGGCCGCCCACTGGGCCCACATGGAGCCAAACTGGAACCCACATGAGACCCAACGGGGCTACCCAGCTGAGACCCATGAATGCATGGTTCGAGCTGATGCCTCTGGGAGCACCCACAGTAACACGCAGGCGAACATTTCCTGGCGGGCGTCAAGCAATATGGGGGTCGCGAGGAGGACAGTGCCTGTCCGGTACATTCGGGGGTAAAATAGCGACAGCGCTCGATAACACAGAGGAGGAGGGCCTACGTAGAAAGTACTGGCATGAGACCACGGATCATGCTGAGCTGATAGCTTCCCCGATGGATTGAAACTCGTGTTTTGCCGCGTGCACTGTCTTTGCTTTCATTATCTGTTGAGAGATTCATCAATCTGTTAGTTGTTGATCAACTGTGCATGGCGGGAATGCTTACGCTCTTTTGCGTTACAATAGGGTTGCAACTTGTGATGGTTATTTGCTTCAAAGGGGATGTTTCACATTGGAAAATATTGAAGCAAACATCAGATATGAAAATAAGCTCACGTATAGCTAAAGTATACTTTTAAGTGGAAAAACTGATCGACCCAACATCATTCATCCATTTAGTAAATATACTCCTCAATACGTTATTGTTTGATTGTGTCATCGTACCCTGCACGATACTGGCTGAGAGCACATTGACGGCCTTTATATTTGGGAGTTGTACTCACGAACGCCAGGTATGAAGAAAGCGACAATTGTATGTTTTTGACCTTGATCACCGCATGGCCAATAAAATGGCAGGATTTCAATGCCGTTATTTTGACATGATGATGCTTAGGTGCCTTCGAGTAGCCTGCACGAATAGCCTGTACATCTTCATGGGCGATTGGCTCGAACACTAGAGGGGTTTAGTTCTTAAGAAGAGCAGGACTGTGAACTGCACCGGATGATCTCCAAGATGATTGTTTCAGAACCCGATACCAAAGTGGAACACCCCATAGTATAACTCCATGGATAAAACATAACCAAAAATTGAGTATGCACTCCTCGCTTGTTGAAGGTTTTGGGAGCGACGGCATAACAAAATGGCGTCCGTACAATCGTTTTCAAAATTAACAAACGGACGCTAGCGGCCTAAAGTGCAACGGAGGTGGGGATCCGTGCACAAGCCGCGGGCTACAACGGAGGCGAGCATCTGTGCACAAGCCGCGGGCTACAACGGAGGCGGGGATCTGTGCACAAGCCGCGGGCTACAACGGAGGCGGGGATCTGTGCACAAGCCCGGGCTACAACGGAGGCGGATCTGTGCACAAGCCGCGGGCTACAACGGAGGCGGAGATCTGTGCATAAGCCGCGGGCTACAACGGAGGCGGGGATCTGTGCACAAGCCGCGGGCTACAACGGAGGCGGGGATCTGTGCACAAGCCGCGGGCTACAACGGAGGCGGGATCTATGCACAAGCCGCGGGCTACAACGGAAGCAAGGATCTGTGGACAAGCCGCGGGCTACAACGGAAGCAAGGATCTGTGGACAAGCCGCGGGCTACAACGGAGGCGGGGATCTGTGCACAAGCCGCGGGCTACAACGGAAGCAAGGATCTGTGCACAAGCCGCGGGCTACAACGGAGGCGGGGATCTGTGCACAAGCCCGCGGGCTACAACGGAGCGGGATCTGTGCACAAGCCGCGGGCAAACGGAAGCAAAGATCTGTGGACAAGCCGCGGGCTACAACGGAGCAGGATCTGTGGACAAGCCGCGGCTACAACGGAAGCAAGGATCTGTGGACAAGCCGCGGGCTACAACGGAGGCGGGATATGCACAAGCCGGGCTACAACGGAGGCAAGGATCTTGGACAAGCCGCGGGCTACAACGGAAGCAAGATCCATGCACAAGCCGCGGGCTACAACGGAGGCAAGGATCTGTGGACAAGCCGCGGGCTACAACGGACAAGC